TAACTTCCTGCTTGTTGAAAAGACCTGAGAGTTTCATTTCCCTGTAAGTAAAGATGTTTCCTTTACATAAAGACAATTGATGTGTATGTAATGGGGTGTATCTGCTTGGCGATGTAAGAGGGTGACATTTCTGTCTTTCCTGGAGTTCCCTGGGTGGTGCAAATGGTTAACATGCTCACTGCTAACCAAAAGGCTGGAGGCTTAAGTCTACCCAGAGGTGCCTCTGAAGAAAGGCCTGGCGAGTCACTTCCGGAAACTCAGCCATTGAAAATCCTATGGAGCACAGCTCTACTCTGACACACACTGGGGGTGCCACGAGTCGCAGTCGACTGGTTTTATGTTTGCAATCTCTGTAGGGTCTTGCCTGTGATACAATTTATTATTTATTCCATAATAAAACCTTTCCCCCCACCCCTCCTACCTTTGTGGAGAGGAATTTCAAGGCTGACAGGCCTTACTTCTAATGATTTCTCCATTGGAGGGAAGCCAAGCGTGGCAGTTGCCGTCCTCTGTAAAACACGCCTGGCCGAGACACTCACTCAGGTTGCCCTGCACAGAGCCGCGGAGGGACAAGCCGGGAGGACAGGAAACTCTGGTTCACAGATAGAAGATCGAAGCTAGATGGTGCTGCCTGTCTTGTCACAAACGTTCCAGAGATAAAACGAACCCGTACGACTCGTGTGCTGTCGACGTGGAATAATCTAGAACTAGCAGGTCCTGAGACTGGCTGGAAATCCCTGGGTAGTACTGCAAATGGTTAACCCCTCAGCTGCTAACCGAAAGGGTGGAAGTTTGAGTCCACCTAGAGGTGCCTCAGAACAAAGACCTGGCAATCTACTTCTGAAAAATCAGCCACTGACAACCCTGCGGAGCTCAGCTCTGCTCTGACACACACGGGGTCATCAGGAGTCAGAGTCTACTCCACAGCAGCTGGTTGGTTTGCAGCCGGCCCACCTCAGGGCGAGCGGCCCACCTCAGGGTGAACGCACGGCCATGTCGTGCTCACTCAGCGGCAAACGCATCGCAGGGAGCCGGGCGGGGGGTGAGTGGGACTAGTGGTGGTCCTGCCCCAGCTCATGTGTTA